ATAAATCAAATAAAGTTAGATTGAAAGTTTTTGCGTGCCATAATAGATTCTAATTTAAATTTGCAAATCTTTGTTCCTACGAAAATGAATGACACTCATTGTTGTATTTCCTTTTTTGGATTTTAGATTGTACATTGTGTACAATAATTATGCGACGATGTTTATTGCAAAAAAAAAAATCCGTAAAGTAATTTTTTCTGTGATAGAAACTTTTTTTTTTTTATTAATAAAAATGACTTATAAATCAGAAATCTTTACGTGCGTACAAATAATTTTAATTGCGTTTTTTGATTTGTCTTAATATATAAACTACGGGAAACTCCACTTAAAACAGTATTCTTTATTTAATTATTTTTATATATGAATATAAAGTATAGCTAATAATATCTTTTGTTATATAATAATAATAAATCTACATATAATGAATGCTAATAAATATTCTAATTTCTTGAGATCTTCTAACAATTTTAAATACTTCATAATCGACAATAGAGAAATGTTTTAAAGATGATTTTCTTGTAGGCTTTTCATAACTATCATGTCTACAGTAACAATCATAATCTTTAGTAAAATTATTCGAACAAAAACTTCGCAAAGAAAAATCATATCCAAAATCGGGACAATACATTTCTTGATTACTTTTGGATATATAAAAACTTGCACTTTTGGGGTCTTGTACTCTACTATGCATTTATCAACTAATGCACGATTATTCCATGCTAAAGGATTATAACCCCCAAGTATTTCATCATTTCCTTTAACTTTTGCTACCAAAACCGTACCAGCGGAGTCATGACAAATATTCCAAAATGTTTGTGGGACAAATCCATCTCTAGATCCACGTAAAATCAATTTTAATCTATATGGATTATTTAATGAAGTCGGTCAATCCAAGTTGAGATTTCCGCGGCATGTTCGTCAGAAATGACGGTTGAAAAAAAAACCTTGACGGTAAAATAATTGATTTTAGGAGATGATAAATGATACTTGATATACTTCCAAAGTTGTTTATTGAGAATATTTTTATAAGGTCTAATTGAATCTCTGACTTCATTAGCTGAAAGATGAAAGTAACGAATATATGGTAGACATTGTCATAACGTGGTTTTTAATGTAATAATATTTTCCTGAGACCATTCTCCGAGGTTTGTAGGAAGGGTAGGATTCTGAGCAATTCCCCATTTGATAATGTAATTCCAAATTTCACTTCTTTCATTTTCAAACTTTCTATCTTGAGAAGAGAAACCAGTTTAGATTCTGGAAGAGATTTAAAATCCGAGCGTTCGAAAATTAGACTTGGATACTTTGCAATAATATTACAAGATTTAAATTTTTTACTGTCAAAAATAGTATCGTAAACCATAGAAATATTTGTTTTCAACCATGAAGTTTTAGTTTCAATTAAAAAAATTTCTATTTTGTTGGTTAATTCTTCAAGTTCCGATTCATCCGCAACTAATATTAATTTAAAAACAAACAAAGGTTCGAAGCTTTCTAAATTAACAATTCATCCATAATTATATCTACACATTGTATATAATAATTAATAAATAAATATATAAAAAATTTTAATACAAGTATTTCTATTATTTATAATCTGTTATTTATAATAAATTACTTAAGAATCACATCGATCGAACAGATCTTCACTTTCGTTATTTATATTACCCTCAACAAACACACCTCTATCCAACAAAACTTTGTGACCGCTTCCATCTATATATGGGTGTACTTATAAAAGTCAATTTTTGAAATTGACTTTTCAATATTATATATATTAGTTTTGAGTAGTGATAAATGTATTTTTCGCATAGAAATAATAGTCAAACAATCACACGGATATAAACCAGAACAAGCTGCACAAGGTAGCCCCCTAAGCGAATCATAATTAATACTTTCACAAAATTCTGCCAACGCATTATCTGCAACAGTTTTATTAATTGGTTGTTGGCCAATTCGCATAATGTTCGCTCGATGAATCAAACTTATTATCCATTTCCAGAACACGTATAGAACGCGTGCATTAATTGCATTGGTACTTTTTTCAATACAAATTTTTCATTTCTTAACGCATCAACTTCGTTCTGTTTACGTTGTTGCTCTCATTCACACAGGTCAAATACAAAAGAATCGCTGTACCAAATGGAGATTCCTTTATTATAGATCAGCTAAAAATCGCAAAAAATTGACCATCCTATTACATCCTATATTACAAATCAACCAAAGTCATTCAGTACGGCAATTCTTTTGTATTTGACCTGTTTCACGTTGACAGTAACCTGCACCCGTCAAGTAGCCTTTTGTTGTCTACATTTTAACTTATAATCGTCCATAGTCATTTTATGATTACAAAACTAAAAACAATAGTTCTGTAGTTATTTTATTACAACCACTAAAATCATTACAAACAAATAGCGACAAAAGGTGAACAAAGGTGGTCAAAAAATAGTCGCAATGATATCTATTTTGTAAATCACAAAAAAATTTACTTTCATCATCATTACATGAGATGTTAACAAGAAACCCAAAATCATAACAACTTCTTAAAATAAAAACAAACGAAAAAGTCACATTTTCATAGTTAACACAGACTAGCAAATTGTAATCTAAAACAAATTTATTTACGATTTACAACTGCATTAAAATATGATCCTTGTACATTTATACTTAAATTAAATAGTCGCAATAACATTTATTTCATAAATCACGAAAAATTCATGTTCATCATCATTACGATTTAGCAAAAAATAAAAAACTACAACGTCTCCCTAAATCAAACAAACAAAATAAAAAATTACAAAATCAGCATATGCGACATCAAAAGTTGAATACATCCATCCCTCTATACCACAATGCATACATTTCATGTTACAAATTCAATGCGATCGTACTGGTATTCGTGTATGATGAAAAACATATCTTCATGTTCCGAACATTATTATTTTATTATTCGAAAATAAAAATTATTGCATATAATTACGTATTTATATTACAAATAAACACACATAAACTTACTCAAGTCGGATAACCATAATCAAAAAATGTAGCAATAACATTTATCTCCCGTTATCGAAAGATGTGCAATAACAATTATTTACAGTTAATAAAACAGTTAATAAAAAACCAAATAAGTAAACGATAATCATAACTCCTACTAAAAAAGGATATTGCAAAAATCAGCATAAGAGACATCAATAAAGTTGAATACTATACATTTACATTTCATGTTACACATTCAATGTGATCGTTCTGGTATATTCGATAAAAAATAATAACGGTAGTGATATACATATTGTTATATCACATGCTCACACAATGTGCAAATAATTTCTCAACTTTACCGAAGTCCGAAGAAATTTCCTTTTATATTATTTTAATCTATATAAATGTTACAGGAAAGGTTGCCAATAGCATTTTGCGTATTTTGTAATGAGATAAAAATAAAATATTATAAAATAATAAAAACATTTTTTTTTTTCAAAAAAAAATTCTACCTTTCATTCCATAAGTAAAAAAAATGTTATCTGATAAAATATGCCCAGAATGCAATCAAGAATATACTTCCTGGAATTGGTGCAAGCCATGTAACTCGAAACATTTCCAAAATGATTTTAATAATTGGACAAGCGGAAATGACAAAATAGATAAATTCATTCAAGATTCTCAACTAAATATTAATAGATATTGGGAAGTAATAGAATGGATACCTTATGATAGATTTAAAGATGTTAAACAAATAGGTAGAGGTGGATTTGGAACAATACATTATGCCAGGTGGATTGATGGATCAATTTTGAAATGGGATTTTGAAAATCAACAATGGAAAAGATATCGTGAAGATGAAGGAGTAGTAGAAGTGGTATTAAAAAAGTTTGATAATTTTGTGAATTTAAATGATGTCTTAAATGAGGTAAATATTTTAATTAATATTAGATTTAATTTTCAAATTATTATATAATGTTTTGACTATAAATTAAAAATATTTATAATATTAGATGACAATTCACTTAAAAACGAATAGTGACTCTTCTTCTTATCCAATTAGATTTTATGGAATTACACAAGATCCAAAAACACACAAATATATGATGGTTTTAGAATATGCAAAAGATGGAAATCTTCGAGAATATTTAAAAATTAATTTTAAT